GTACCCATAACATAAAGTGGAAGAAGAAAATGATATAAAAATTCGTAAATCAAATAAATGTGAAAAAATAAAACAAAAATGAATATCAAATTGATTAAAAAAAAACAAAAAATGTTCTGGAAACACTAAACAATAGAAGACGTCATCAACCTCAACCATAGTAAAGGTGTTAACAAGGGTAACTTCACTAAAATGAAAAGGAAAACTTAACTAAAGACGAGAAGGGGTAACGAATATAAATAGTCCTGAGCTTGGGATATCGAGATTGGGTCCCTGTCTAGATTCTGTCGCTTCTCTCAGACACACATTCGTACACACGCATACACTCACGCACTCACACACACATGCACTCACGCACTCACACACACATACAGACATGCAATCACTCACATATACATACAGACACTCATATACACATGCTCACACACACATACAAAAACACAAAAACACTCAAACACACACACAAACACATATGCACTCAACCAAACAAAAACACAAACCTTTATCTATATACTTGCAGAAGCACAAAAAGTCAACACACAGCACCTTCCCTTATAACGACTTGTAGCGTTTGGCAACCACGCAGAGTACACGTTCCTTCCCATCCGCCGGGAACCACAGCAACAATTTGTGTTTAGTGTGAATAACTTATCATTCTCGCCAGGACCAGCTATCACAACGGTACTACTGCTGCTGCTGATCACGTGAGTCTATTATATACATTCGAGTTTCATCTCTGAGGCTGGTGAAGTGAGTTTGAGTTTGCATATACTTGCACCTCCAGTAGACACACTCGCACCCACGCATAAGTACATGTGCGTGCGTGTGTTTTTGTGTTCGTGTGTGTGCATATAATACATATACGGAAATTTGTTTATATGTTCTATATTCTTACACAAATGCCGATAGACATAACACATCCAAACTAAATTGCTCCTTAAATATGATATAATCTGATCTTCAGCATTATTGATTCTATCAGTGTCCTTGCTACCTTAAAATTTACGATGATAAAATACTCGTATGATAACGCACGGAAAGCAAAGGAAGAAAATGTAGACAAGCAGTTTGTACTACAAATGCATGAATGGTGTTCCTGTATTAGTATCGTTGATGTTGATAATAATGATACTCGGTTATGTGGACGTTAATGATCATAATAAGTTTCAGGAAGAACATTTTGACAATGATGATGACAAAGCATTAAAGGATTAATATAAAACAGATTATGGTAGCAAAACAATAATGATAACAATAATGATAACCTTATAGATAATAAAATTATCATTGATAAATTGAAGGTTAGTATCAGTATGAATGATCATGAAATACCACTGATGCTGGTGCTAGAATTGCTAATACTCATGATAACCCCAATGCTCCAAATGAAAATAATTAGTGATGACAGGAATTCGTGTATAGTTTTAAACAAATATTCACAGACAAACAAAAAAAAATATATATATATACATGCACACACACACATTTACAAATATGTGTATATCCATATATAATACACTGCATCAATGGCCTAGAGGTTAAAGCACTGGACTCTGTAGTGGTCCCTAGTTCAACTGTCCGCCGGAGGAATTGCAAAATGCTTGCGCTCCAACTGCTGGTTTGAGCTGGTCTTACTGGGAGAAAACGTCATATTACGTTGAGACGTCAAACGCAGGTGTCGGAGGGGAAGTCGCTGAAGTGGCACGAATGGATGCCCCTCCTAATCATGGTTGATTGGGAGGGGCATTCAATCAGGCAGGAGAGGTATTGCCAGCTCTTAATAATGAACTGAGAGAGGCATAAGTCCTGCAGTATATATATATATATATATATATATAATATATATATATATATATATATATATATATATATATATATATATATATATGTGTGTGTGTGTGTGTGTGTGTGTGTGTGTGTGTGTGTGTGTGTGTGTGTGTGTGTGTGTGTATGTGTGCGTGGCGGACACTCACTTGACTGAAAACCATTTGTAATCAGTAGAACTTGACCTTTGCTTACCAACGCGACCGTTTACTTTCGGACTATGTGAAAAAATTCTGGTGCACAGTCTGTCCCAGAGGCTGTGTAAAATTCATGTCGGAATGAATATTTTATCTTGTCACTGATGCGACAAGTAGGCCTACACATTATGAATTTGTTATTGCTGGGCATCATTACACCGAGATAAACTTTTTAATCTTGTTCACAATAAAACACGGTTTAATGAACGATATCACCAAGCTTATAGGGACAGGCATACTGCCTACAATATCTGGTCTGGTAACCGTCCTTGGGAGAATTACGTTGCCATGCAAAATATAGCAAACAATGTTTATAAGGAGGCTAAATCTTAATATAATGCTCATTTGAAAGTCCTCTCTGAAGCATCGCAGCCTCGTAAATGGTGTTCAACGATTAAAGCATCTCTGCTTGGTGTGAGTCTTCCATTCCTCTTTCAATGAATCCTGATGGCATATGCGATTGGGAAAGCTATCTTGTT